TGGAAAATTCGAATGACATTTTACACGAGACGGACAAATTCTGAAAACGTTTATGTTATTTAATATATATTGTGAAATGCTGTAGCAACCGTAGCTTACACTGTGATTCATTCCGCTCAGAATTCGAATCGTTATGAAAATGTTTAGGAATAATCAACATTAAATGCAAAATCACGATGTCGACACACCCATTAATCGTGACGCACGTGACTTAACCTTTTGGAGTTTCGATCTACGTTCTATTTTCTTCGCTATCGCTACTTACAATAATTTTATTCTCACGAATTTCTCTTCAATGTAATTGAGATAACCTTACAAATAATATATATATACACATACAAAATAACAATATCAAACTTTTCTTTAACTCTTTCGTAGCTTGAAAAACAATATTTATGAAATAATGTCGTAATTTAGCTTCGAAATACGAGAAAAGTATTTTGACTTGATTTTGTGTCCTGTACCAACAATAAAATCACTACGTATTATGTCTCGAAACTTGATAATTTCAACCAATTTCTCATAAAGATTTTGTAATTAACGCATCATTGTACCCAATCCGAATTCGATTAATACGCTATAATGATAGTTTTTTCTTTTGTTTTTTGAAGAGGATAAGGTGGATTATATCATTTTGGAGGGCTAGTTTGTTCAGGTTTGTAGCGCAATGTTGTTCATACTTGGAGATTAAGTCGTGTTTGAAGATTGAGTTGGCTTGTATTTTAAGAGCAAGCTTTTTATATATATTTTTTCCCTTAGACACGAATAGTTTTTATTAAAATTTAGCTGCTGGAAAGTGCTTTAAGGTCATTCTGAATAATAATATTACAGTAAAATAATATAATGTTACATTATAAACTAAATAAAACCCTACTTATCAATTTAAAACTGACTTAATTATACTTGTCATAAGACATTAGTAGTAAGTTAATATATTTTAGCCTGGCATGGCCAGGTGGATAAGGCGCTCGACTCACAATCCGCGGGTTCGAATCCGCATACCGCCAAACATGCTCGCCCTTTCAGCCGTGGGGGCGTTATAATGTGACGGTCAATCCCACTATTCGATGGTAAAAGAGTAGCCCAAGAGTTGACGGTGGGTGATGATGACTAGCTGCCTTCCCCCTAGTCTTACACTGCTAAATTAGGGACGGCTAGCGCAGATAGCCCTCGTGTAGCTTTGCGCGAAATTCAAAAAACAAACAAACAAACAAGGACTATCTACCTACAGCCGTCTCTAATTTTGAAACGATAGACTAGAAGGAAGGAAGTTAGTCAACTTTTTGGCTTCCCTTGCGTGATTGAATAGTGGGATTGTACCTTCACTCACAAGGTGTAACCACGGATCCAAAGTGTGCATTGTGGAGTGCATTTGTGCGACAATGGGTCTCGAATCATGAATCTCCGGATTCACAGTCCGCTAGCACTAGCCATTAAAACATACATGGCCCGAAAACTCCCGAATTTGTTTCAGCCAATTATGCACTGTAATGTGAAACAAATTTGAAAATATAACCTTTGTAGATTGGAAATATCAGTTGAGAAAAATATACTATAGCACACGGGAAAATATTAGCTGCCTGCGATATTCAAGGCTGAACATATGATCTCGTAAAGGATAGAAAGAGCCATGGTATACTAGTCCACCCTGCTATCGATGTTGAAGATTTCTCAGGCCTAAAACAGACCAAGGCCTCTCCTTCCGTCTCGGAAAGGTTTGATATAATTGCCCGGGGTCTCTCGGAGCAGTTCTATTAAGTGGTAACTCCGGCCATTAATCAATTCCAATCAACCAAACAGCTGTAGATTTAAAACTGACAAAATGTGAAAAGAGTTCAGAACATTGAAGATTTTCCAGGCCTAAAACAGGCCAAGGCCTCTTCTTCCGTCTCGGAAAGGTTTGATATAATTGCCCGGGGTCTCTCGGAGCAGTTCTATTAAGTGGTAACTCCATCCGTTAATCAACTTTAATCAACCAAAAAGCTGTTGATTTAAAGCTTACAAAATGTGAACAGAGTTCAGAGTATTTTATTCTATGGCAAGGCTTACAGTAGTATGCAATTCGTCTTTTGTTTTGTATTTCCATTAGGATGATGTGCTGTTCAGAGTTACCAAACAAGAAGTTTAGAAATGAAATTTTTTGTCTTCCCAATAAAAAATAAATTGAGTTGAAAATTCTTGTTGGCTAGGAAGAACATGATATTTTACAGTCCTTCTATCTTACACACACACATTGAATACGTTTCAGTTATATTAAACAATTTTGAAGTCCCACCACGTTGTTACAGTAAACGTCGCCACGTTCGGTCATTTTCCGTCTGACGACCGTGTACCTTGACAATAGCCCTACCACATAATTTCCATTGTAAAAAGGCTACACCATAATGCTCTCATAAACATAAAGCATACCAATCCTCCTGCATTCTTTCATAATTCAACTAGAGTATGAATACCCGTTTCATTCTCCAATTGTTTGATGTATGCGAAGATTGAATAGATAGGTAGTGGATGCAACTTGTGTACACGTGACTTGTTTCGCTTTTCCAGACGAAGGTTCTTTTTGATTATATTGTGTATTTTTTTCTGGGCCATGTTGACGGCTTTTGCCACTAATCTTTGTGTTCTTAGATTCTCGCCTATTACGAAACGCCACACTTTACTTACCATAGCTGTGGTACGACTTTTTGCAGGTATCTTTCTGGATAGGTCTGTTACCCCAAGTTGTTCCATGTTCCTTTGTTTTCTAATGCTATTCAGTATAATGCCGCCTAATCACCAATCCAAACATTTTTTCATTTTTTATGAACTGATAGTGTGAATATTTTGCACACCCTTCTCAAAAACGGTCAAATTTTTGGGGACATCACACTACCAATATAACGCCAAACAATGTTAAAATGTGGTTGGAGTACAAGTCATTTCACCACGACTTTATATCGGCTGTGGCTGTCACGTTATTTGCTGATTTGCATATTAAAATCGTTACGATATAATGTACTTTATCCTTTGTAGATGCTTAAACACTGATTAAAGATGTCCATTAAAATACTGACCTTGTGACTCACATAAATTACTCTTTGGTTCCATTTTCATGTGATCAGTAGATTTGCACAGTTCTTAAGCCAAATGGGAGTTGTGTGTTTTTGCTAGAATCCGTAACCATAGAAATATTGAATAAATAATTTAAATATCTCTTTCCAGCTTCTTGAGGCAAAGAAGTAGATAGTATCTACATAAGATGCCTATTAGAGGATCTTGCCCAGCGTAATTTTTTTATTGTTTAAATCAAATAAATAGTATCTACATAAGATGCCTATTAGAGAATCTTCCCCAGCGTAATTTTTCTATTGTTTAGATCAAATAGATAGTATCTACAGAAGATGCCTATTAGAGGATCTTGGCCAGCGTAATTTTTTTATTGTTTAGATCAAATAAATAGTATCTACAGAAGATGCCTATTAGAGGATTTTGCCCATCGTGAATTTTTTATTGTTTAAATTACGTCCATATGATGATGGAAATTTGTGATATGCATAATCTCAAACGCTACCTTAGGTTTTGCTAACTGTAATTATTAGTTCTGGTTAAACGCAAACCTACACAAAGGGCTATCTACGTTTAACGTAAAACAGCGATAAAAATTGACCCATGACGATTGATGACAGAGAAGATTTTCATTGAAATTAGAAAAGTGAAAAATTTAAAGAGATATGACTTCACCAAAGTATTTGGCACACAACTATGAACGTATTTGCAGTTGTGTTTCTAAAGGATAAAAAAATAAATAAATATAGGGATTATGTCAAATGCGTTAGTTTTATAGCCCTGACCCAGATAAATAATAGAAGTGAACAAACTGTAGCCGAGATGAAATAAATAAAGTCCTACTTGGAACACACTCAGTTTCTCAACTTGACTTTCTTGTTAGCCTTCAGTTGTGTATTATAGTTATATATATATATGTGTGTGTGTGTTAATATACATATATGTACTGTATATATTGAATAAATTAATAACATAAGTATACACGTCAAAAATGTTAAAAGCGTCGGAGAACAAATACAAAGAAATATTAATAAACTAAGAATTGTGTGGGCATAAGTTAATTATATTGAATTTTGAAAATTTTATGGTAATCTTTTTTTGTATACCAGAACTTTACCCAATCACGTGAAATAATGAGTAAATGGTAAAACACTAGTTATAGTAGGTAGTTTTAATCAAATAATTTTCCGAAATTATTTCCTCGTTAGATTTAGCGTTGAATATTCATTATCGAGAAACCTATTGTTTGACGAAGGTAGAAAATGTCACCAGGTGAGAGCCACCCCTCTTCCCCAGTGGCACAGCGGTATGTCTGCGGACTTACAACGCTAGAAACCGGGTTTCGATACCCGTGGTGGGCAGAGCACAGATAGCCCTTTGTGTAGCTTTGTGCTTAACTACAAACAAACCTCCGGTGAGATAGCAATAAATTTACGGACTTCAACGCTAGGATCCGGGGTCTGACTCCTTGCGGCGGACACAGCAGAAAGCCAAATGTGGCTTTGCTCTAAGACAAATAAACTACTTATAAATTAAAAAGTTGGTGTTGAGTAGTAATTGTATTACAAGGTGCACTCGTTAGAAGAACTATTTTAATCTCGAGGCTGAATTATATTTATGTTACTAGCCAGATTTTTTAATTTTTACGCTATATTTGTGATATTCTGGGAACCTTAATGTCAAAATAGAGTAAAACGCTTAAATTTTTTTTAATATCCAGATAAAATTATCGTGTAATTTCAGAAAACTTATAAAAAACTGATTTTTTTTCTAATACATAATTTTCTAAAATATTTTAATCTTAGTATTTATTAAGGTCTACTATCTTACTTGTCCGTCGTTAAGCGCAAAGCTGCACAATAGTCTTCTGCGCAGTACCAACCACAAGGATCGAGCCCCAATTATTAGGGTTATAATCCCTCAAGTTATAATCCCGCTTAGCCACCGGGAAGACATTTATTAATACTCAGAGTAAGCATGTAAATCCTAATTTCGTTCTGTTATGCCATGTTTTTAAAACGTGTGCTACACATTAAAGTTTCTTGTTTAAATCGACTACCACTGCAGGCTGTCATTACAATACAAATATCTTGACTATTGACACATACACACTATATGCTGTACTACAGTATATTTGTTTCTCAAAACTAATTGATTCAGATAGATGATTTCTTGGAATAGTATTGCATAATATTATATTTAGTTTAAACTATTGTATGCTTAAAATGGTCTCTCTTTAATATCTATAGAACAATGAAGAAATACTTGCACCCAATTTTTTTAGTTTGAGAAATGCATGGAATATTTGGTCATGATCATTTTCTGATATTTGTTGATTGCTAAGCACAAAGCTACACGCAGTGGACTATCTGTGCTCTGTCCACCACAAATATCGAAACCCGAATTTTAACGCCATAAGTCTGGAGATTTAATGCTGAGCCACTTGAGGGCCGTTAAGTTCAAATTTTTTATTCTGGATTATGATATACTCAGTGTCCACTAGGAGCAAAGGTTGAAGTCAGTTGCCAAAAGTCCAGGATCTTTATTTGTATTATATGAATATGATGTTAATATTATTGACCTGTTTGTATAAATATCTTATAGATTTGTGGTTTACAATGATCTAAGGTTCAGGATACACCGCTGAAGAACTTCCACGTGCAGATGGCAGATAGCTACCGAGTACTTGTTTTTTTATGTAAATCACTTGCAAACCTTGTACTTATTTTTGTATACTTTCAAGGAATGGTGAAAAACATCAGTATACCAATCACTTGTTCATAAGAATAGTCTCTCGTTTATTCAAGATGAGTTCCAGGAACACAAAGTCCGAATAGTTCAAGGCCGTAGTAGATAGTAACCAGCCTGAAGTTGTGTGTTTTTTGTTTGTAGGTTTTCGGTTCTGACCAGTTTACACTTCCAACTTAGAAAAAAACAACACCTTTTCTCGATTGCCGACAAGCATAAAAAGTATGTTCGATTTACTTCGCTGAGATTTTCGAATCGCCGAAATTTTACCAGTAAAGACGAGAATAAACGTGTGATAACAGGCTATTGTTAACAATATTCACTACACGTGAATCTGTTAGCGCAAAATTTCTTAAAAAGAAATATATCACTTAATTTTACGTTTCTTTGGGAGGCTTCTCATATTCAATGTCTAACCAATTTGTCTACTTATCAATATTGGCACAATAATTCAGACACAAGTCATCAGAAAGGCATTGCTAGAGTGGGCAATCATTTTTATTAAGATAGCAAGATTGTTTAATTTTTGGAGTTTTTCAAAATGTTTCTTCGGGTGGTGTTCATTTTTGCTTTCGGTTCCTTATCGATCAACCGACCAGGTTACAGAAATATTTCATAATTTTTTACAGTAGATAAATATATAAGATTTTCATTTTTATTTCAAAAGCTGAGAAGCATACAAATTAGTGAACACCACAACTTATCGCTAACAGTTTAATATTCCCACACTTATATTTCTCTGTTGATTCTGTCCAAAGCAAGAACAAAGCAAAGACAACTACTAGGCTTGAAAATACCAACTGAATATTACATTCTGACTAAGATCTCTTCAGTCTTTACTAAGAACACTCTATGTTTTACACGTTGTTAGCTATGTCCTTGTGAAACTGGTCAACGCTCTATCCAAGGATTACAAGACTGACATCAGGAATCTGACGAAATCTAAGGTACCAAGAATATTAAAGCGCCCCCTAGTTAAATGTTTTATCTTCATATATTCTTCGATTAAATTTCTAAGAGATTTCGTTAAGTAAAAATAAATAAGAGAAAATTATATTTATGCTATTTTTTAAATTCTGATGTATGTAAAGAGGCTCATTAAGAGCAGGAAATAAAAAGTGAAAGTTTTATCCAGTCATGTATTGTATTAAATAGTTGATATCGTCTAAAAAATTAAATTGTTGTTTTCTTTGTGCAAAGCTGCACACTTGGCTATCTGCATTATGTCCATCATGAGTAATGAAACCCGGATTTTAGCATTATAATTCTGTAAACTTACCTCTGACCCACTGGGAGACAAAACTAAATTAAATCAACCTTACAATACGTGAATAGAGCCTGATTAAGGACAAATACGAAAAATTACTAATTATTCACTAACTAAAGAACTACTAGACCAGTAAAATACTCAGAAATGGAAATCATAATGTGGTTTTCTATCATAATATCCTGTTTCTTTGTAGTTGTTGTTTAAACTGAACAATTTCTCATCTATAGGTAAAAGATGAAAAGCGTTAGGATTTATTGTGGTTTTCTTTATATGGATATACCAGCCTCTTATTTTTCGATCCTTCGTGATTTTACTATCAATATAATCTAATTATATAGATAAAATGAACACAATAATAAGGATTAAACAACAAATCTTAAACATGGTTTAGACGTGAGAGCTCATTAAATGAAAACTATGCTGTAATTTGTTAGAACAAAATTTAACACCAGTAGCAGAAGCACTTTATTTTAAAGTATATGTATCAGTGCTCAGTATGTAACCTTCCAAAACGTGTAATTACGAAAACAGATAAAATACAAAGGTATAAAGTGCAAAAAACACAGGAATTGCAAGACCATGATCTTTTTGACCAAAAACATGTCTCAGATTGAGAACACTAACCGGCCTTCAACTGTTACCATAGGAGTCAAGAACCGATTAAAGGCTGTTGTTTAAATAACGAGGAGGGATAAATAGTGCGAACTGATAACAGATACAGAGGGCGCCACTAAAGACTGACACGTATTTATAAGTTTTGATATTGATATGTCACAGTATTGTTGTGAAGAAAAAACATCAAGTCTGAGAAAGATAATAAGGTATTCATTCTTTATAAATCAAATAAATGGTTTTTTCTAGGTTCTCATGATAAACTACGGAAAGGGTTTCTTTCCCAATGAAGCAATCAAATTAAAATATCAGCCACTCAGTATTAATTTCAACTTTTTGTTTCTATTTACTGCGACTGTACATCACAGTACACCTTTGCCTGTTCTGAATTTTACCTAAAATATTATTTTGTCCTACTTATAATATATGGTAGCTACTTAGAACCAAAGTATCCTAGTCCCACCAAACATGCTCGTCCTTTCAGCCGTGGGGGCGTTATATAGTGACGGTTAATCCCACTATTCGTTGGTAAAAGAGTAGCCCAAGAGTTGGCGGTGGGTGGTGATGACTAGCTGCCTTCCCTTTAGTCTTACACTGCTAAATTAGGGACGGCTAGCGCAGATAGCCCTCGTGTAGCTTTGCGCGAAATTCAAAAAAACAAACAAACAGAACCAAAGAAGTAGACAATCAAAATAGGAGTTGAATAACCTGTCTTAGCTATTCAAATTCGATGACGAGGAACCAACTTTGAGACTAATAATGGCTGGAGACGGCTTGAATGGGTAATGAAGAAAAACTTTAATATAAGTTTAACATAACAGCAAATGTACAACGTTTCGACAAGGTTTTGTCATCATCAGGTATTATCTCCAGCCATTATCTGTCTTAGCTATGTCTTGGTCTAGCGCCCCCTGGGACATTTATAGAAATTAAACTTTACAGCTGTTTAATCGCTGTCATAAAAACTTGTAGAAGATAATCTGTACTTACGAAATATTATTGAATGATACAGAAATGACTCTCTTCGACGTAATAATTAGACATACATGAGACGTGTATACAAATACATATTTCGATAATAAGGACTAACAACAAAACTCAATACAATACATGAAATATTTAGTTTTCTTTTGTTATTTTAAAACATTAATGAATACTAAAACTCTAGAAAAAATCGTAAAACGCAGGTTAGCTCTTCCGAAATAGATCGTTATCCTTTAGAAATTTTATGAAACAATGAAAACATGACGCTAAGTCTATAGTGAAACATATTAAAAGAGTTTTATCATAACTATGTTTTGTTAAATGAAGCTTAAATATTTCTTGGATGTAAGGAAATATAATTTTCCCTCATAAGCGTGAACATAATGGATAATATTAGTTTGCTTCAGTGAGGTTAACAATATATTTTGCACCTATTGAAATATGGAGGTATTGCGCCATCTAGAATCATATAGCTAAAACGTACGAAACATGAATAGCATTTTATTTTGATTTCGTCGATTGCATATATTAGTATAAAATACCCGCTCTGAGCAGTGTCGAAATCCCGAAGGGGAGGAGGGCAGAAGTACAAAATCCGATACCAAACTCGATTTCAACGACCCTGCAAACCAGCTTCTCGACCCCATCATGCCTGAATAACCATTCGGACGCTTCTTACCCTCTTTGGTACTTCAACCTAGGCATTTGATATGAAAGTTAAATTCTAATTTATTTTAATAAAAACAATTAAATGCTGTTTTACTTTTTTTTAATTTCTGAAAAAACTACTCCTAATTTGTTGAAAGACAAAAAATATATAAAGCTACGAATTTTCAAATTTCTTTAAATAACTATAATTTATAGTTAGTACAGTAACAGCCTGGAGCGTGATTATTGTCCTGTAATTTAAATTTCATGTGTCATTTAGAAATACATGTGATAAGTAAGCTTAGATTAGTTTTATGTTAAGGATTTCAAAATAAGTTATGTTAACGTTAAGTTACTTTCAATACGGGCTCGGTCAATTTGACATAGTCACGTGACATTTTGCACTCGTTTAAAGTCTTTGTAAATGTAATACTTACAACTCTCAATATATTGGGTATATCTTCACGAAATCTTTTAGTGAAGTATTTTTAATAAGATAAAATAAAGATTTGTCCATGAATATGTTGAGTATTTGTTTTGAATAGTCCGTGTGCAAAGTCATTTTCATGTTAAAATTAAAAATACTTTTTATCATCTCAAAAATTTCAAATTTCATTTGTGTAATCCGTAAAACCTCCTAAATGCATTTCAAACGTTTTTTGCTTTTTTCAGTAAAACGTTATTGTTTATCTGTTATTTTCTCTACAACCCTGTTCGGAAAGTGATATTATATAACTATTTTAGCTCAAATTTAATTTATCATTCAAATATTTCGACAAGGTAAATAAACTCCTCACTCGCACTATAAAAATAGCATTGTTTTACCTATTCTTTATTTAATATTCATTTCTTGCTTTACCTTAAAGAAGCCTAACATTAGGAATATTATTTTACCTTACCATATGAGTCAAAGTGCAGTCAGTCCTATATAGATCTACACGTATACTGCGCTGATTTAATGTATTTTGTATTTTCATTATTTGAAGTTAAGCTAAATTGACTAACATTTTAAGATAGAGTAGTGCCATGTAGGAAGGCGAGTTTAGAGCCAACATTTTGTTTGTCAGCATCCTAGCCTCATGGGGGTGGGGTAGAAGGGGATACTTAAGAAAAAAAAAGTATTGATCCGGTGTTTTATATCTTCATTCAAACTACCTGTATTTCACAACTTTCTTAACAGAACAACACAAAATGCAGAATATAATGCCTGTTGCACCTGTTGAACTGTCTGTGCAGAGACAGTCCTACCACATTGCACCTCTTAAGCCTCCTCAGGATGTCTGTTATAACTGTGGAGATGTGTGGCACCAGAAACGTAACTGTTCACATTTCATTAAGATGGCTAGTGAAAGAATGAAGCTGATGCTACTCCCAATGACCAGAGTGCAACAGAATAGTATTAGTCAAGATACTACAGTGATCA